TCTATGTGCTAATAGATTCAACCGCAAACCTCCATTTTTATACTCAAAGAAAGAGGTTTTCTTTTTGGTTTGTTTTTAGACAAGAAATGATAATCAAAATAGCTTTTCTTACTTTTTGGGGCTCTACCTTTCTTAAACTTAATCCAAAATACTCAGGTTATCCTGAGCTATCTCTATAGTTCTGCTGCTATAGGCTTAGACTGCTGGAGGACATAGGGAGCCCTTTTTCATCATTCTGCTTCATTCTATCTCTATTCTCCCACTCTGCAGAATCTGTTAGTTCAATCTCTAACGTTCTGCTCTCTCTGCTTTTTCTCATAGTAGCTTCATCTGGTCTGTTCCTGTTTGGCTGTGACTCCATCCTGGAGAGAAATATCAGCTGTGCTGCTGCCATCAACACCTTTGTTTCTAATTTCTTCGCCTGTGGAGCTGGTTGACAGTTGCCTTTTGTATCTATGCTTCTTTTTCTATGTCTGCTTCTGTCTCCTTGAACCCCAGTGGGCCTCAGCAGATGGCCGCTCACACTGAGCCTGGTTCTGCTGGAGGTTTCTTCCTGTTCAAAGGGAGTTTTTCCTCTCCACTGTCGCTACAAGCATGCTTAGTGTGAGGGATTGCTGAAGAGTCAATGAGTCGATGCAATCAGCTGGTTTTCCTTAGATAGAAAACTTTGAATCAATCTGACTGGATGATCTGGTGAACTGGAAAGTGACCTGACAGGGCCGTCACTAGGTTTGAGAGACATGGGTGGCTTAGCCCCTAGGTAAGATATTGCGCGCGCATAGCGCGCGCCGAATTTTTTTCAGTGCACTTTCTAAGGCGCTGTCTATAAATTCATTATTTTAAGAGCAACATACCTGGGAAACACTTCCCTCACTAATGCTACTTCACCAACTAAACTACACCAGTTAAAATGTGCTAAATTACAAAGAGTAAATGGTAGGTGCCATGCATTACTGCATAAATGGAAGAAGGCAAGTGGTTCGCCACTCATCATAATGGAAACCTTCTACAGAAGACAGTTGTCTAACCAACAGACTCCCAACATCTTCATAAACCCTTAACCTGGCCATTCATCTTTCCCCATCTCCCCTGCACCCACAACCTGTCAGGAACCCCTGTCTGCTTTGCAATAACCCTGTTTCTGTGTGTGTGCTTGGTGTGTGTGTGTGACCTGGACTTTGGCATGTCTTTCTCTACACCTGGCACAGAGAGAAACACATATATGTGAGGAACTTAACAATAAATGCAGCATTATCTTTGATCGATTTCTGCTTAATCTAAAGTTTAACCACAAAATACAAGTTGCATAAATGGACAGTAGGCAATAGGCAATAGCATCATTGCAAAGAAGGATATCCTTGAGACTTTTTCACATCAGTCTGACAAAGTTTTAATGCAAATAAAGGAAGTATTTTTAAGTACAATGTATTAATGAAAACACAAAATCAACAGTATATGAAACGTACAACTTAGAACTATAGTCAACCCAAGGAAGCACTACCATATCACACAGTGTCGCCCTATCAGACTGGTGGCACATAGATATGGGAGAATTATCCTGCCATAATGCAAGAGCACATAACTTCAATTAGAGAAAAGAATTTCATCTTCTTGCACTCAAAACTTATAATGCTCACACTCAAAACATGCGCTCTCTCTCAAATATTTTCTCTTCTCTCAAAAATCTTTGTTTCTTCTCTCAGATTTAAACAGATATTTTCTATATTATCACAGATATTTTTTCCTCTCGCTTGCCTCCATCTCCGCTCTGCACGGGTCTCAGTTACGCTCTGCTTGCGGATTTGTTTTGCTCTCTCAGACTGCAGTTGGATCGTTGCCTAGCAACCTTTCCAGCCAATAGAACGACAGCCTCGGAAAAGGTGCGCTTGTTTAACCCTACGGAGTGTGCCTGTGCTACTACGCCACTTATAAAGCGTCAGCTGAAACTGCTATTTACAGTAGTTTTGTGGCTGATTGTTGTTTAGAAATAGAAAACCTGGTTTCATTTCTTAGTTTTGCCCTGGATTTTGTAGCGTTTGTGGACGCTACGTCGCTACTTGATCAAAACAATAACGTCGCTACAGGAAAGTTACTTGATAAATAAAGCAGCGACGCTACGGTCAAGCTACTTGAAAATGTAGTTAAACTAATAGCTTCGCTACATGTAGCGGCGCTACTGCCCATCACTGCTCCTGTGACAAAACTATTATAATGATGCTAGTAGGCTACAACAACATCGTGTTTTCCCACACCACTGACTTTGTTCACCATGGTAACGTAATTCCTACTGAATCAGACAAGCTATTAGGCCTATATTGTCTCTTTCCTCACTCCAGGTAAAGTGAAGAAAATGTAAACCGCTGACATCAAATGGCAAACTCACCGTATGTATCTGCACGCAACCATAACTTTCCTAATCAAGCTCGATGACTGTGTGGAGATTCAAAGGGCGCGCTGTTGCTGCACTGCACAGCTGCTATGGTCCAGTTGATGGCCGTGTACCACGTGACGTGACGCTGGACGCGGAGCCAATGAAGGAAATGAATATCCTAACGATATTAATAATTGTATAAATAATTGTGTTTGTAAATAAACTAACAGGAACTTATCTTCAGATTAACTTGCCTTCTTGGTGGCTCGTTTTCAGTGCTTTACTGCAATTGCAATCAATAAATAAAAAAAAACAATAAAAATCGCAAAATAATTATGGGGTGGCTAATACCAACGAAGGGATGACTTCAGCCACCCTAAAATAGGTCTAGCCACGTCCCTGTGACCTGAGATGACATGATGTGAATTGGAGCTATAGAAATAAACTGAATAGAACTGAATTGAATAAATCGGTTGCAGCGGTGCTGAAAACTATTAAAGAATTTAGCCTGTTCTGTGAGAATGTTGATTAAAAAAAACAAAAAACATGTTTTTTGAGCTTTAAACTGGACAAAATAAAGTCTTTTGGGTTTTATCTTAATCCTAAAGTCTAAGTTCCAACTTCAAAGGTAAATAGATGACATCATAGGAAGTACAGGAATTGTTATTGGTTGTGTCCTTCTGGTCACACAGGAAGTTCTTCCTCTGATTAGGGATTAACAGCATCGGGTGAAGTTGGTCATTTTTAAACAACCTTATGGGTCCAATAAGCCAAACTGTGCCGGTATTAAAAACCGATGTTTATTTCAACCTTGTTTTTGGTTCAGGAAGAAGGAAAAGGATTAGTGTTTGCTTTAATGACCCCTTTTAATTTGCAAGTTTTCGAAACAAAAACAAGGCTTTGTTGGGCTACTGCAGAGGTAACCATTTACAACTATTGTTCAGTTTGGTTTATAGACAATTTCCTGATTCCCATATTTTCTCAAACACCTGAACTGATCTTTCTGTCCAAACTTTATTTAATCATTTTATAGTAAAACCCATCCATATATTATGCTATTGTACATAACGGTAAAAACCCTTTTTATAGTAATATCCACCTGTATGTTATATTTGGTAGATATTCAGCTGTAAATTTAGTTCATAAAACCAGTGATCTATATATTATATTCATTATTTATAATGGTATTCATCTCTATACCCATTCAGTAGAACCATGTCCTGTATTTATGGAACCATTATTTATCCTGCACTCGCTGCTATTGCACTTCTGGTTAGACCTAAACTGCATTTCGTTGCCTTGTACCTGTAACTGTGTAACGACAATAAAGTTGAATCTAATCTAATCCAATTTGGATCATGTGCTGGACGCTCGGGAGGGCTTTACCGTATTAACAGCAGAAGCGGTGCAAGTGAAATTAGACACTGTTGTCGGACAACATGCGGTAATTTTAAAGTTTTAAATCAGGTTGGGTCCGGATCTGGACCGCCGTCCCCTAATCCGTTAACCTGACTCCGCCAGATGGATTTGCTCCGCATATCCATCTGGAAACCTTCCGTTGAAGTAATTTTGGGAAGGGGCGAAAATACTGGTTAGCTGATTGGCCTATGTTGGTGATAGACGGGCCATATAAACCAATCAGATCAACGAAGCATATGACGTACTAACAGAGCGACGACGAAGAGGAGCCAATTGATAGATCAAACTCTTGCCGAAACCAGTCGGGAGAAGAGCAAAAACATCTTTTCCTCTGAGAAAAGCCTCCAGAGCAGTGTTTTGCTCTTCTTTCAGTGAAGAAATACTCTGTAATTCCGATAAAACTTGCTCGATAGCCACGCTAACGCTAGTTTCATCGGCTGAAGCCGCCATGTTCTTTAGACTGAACTGTCGCGCTTCTCGTTGCGTCACACCTCAACCCGCCTCAAAGCCAACGCTGATTGGACGTTCGTTTGGTGAACGGCTCCAAATTTTCTTTAACGGAGAGTCTCCAGACTGATCTGCGAGTGAAACCTTGAAAGCTCGCGAGATCAGGATGGTCTCACCAGGCTACTAATCCCTGACTTCTGGATAAAACCTGGAACTCAACGCTATTTCTGACATTTTGAACTGTAAAGCTTCCTGGATGGAAGAGAAACATTTTCGAACTTGGAAAAAAATTGTTTGTTTTTTACTTTTTTGGAATAACTCTGACCTGGATGACTGAGAATCTTCTCCGCTCCATGAGTGTTGACATGATTTCAGGAATTGTAGGAAATGTATTTATCAATTGCAAACTATAGTTAATTTTTTCTTCTTCTTATCCAAATATAATCTAAATGTTGTTCCAGTTTATCAACACATCCAAACCTTTCTTAAAGTGTAACTAGGCTTGCAAAAAAAAAAAAAAACAACATTACCCCCTCTGTGGAATAAAAGTTAAGATCAATGTCTGCAGTGTTTTTTTTATTTGAAAAGACGACCTAATTCAGCAGCCCTTAAGACAGAAGTAAGATCCATTATTTTGGAGTCCTATTTCTGTCATTTAACAAAAAAAATAACAGTTTTTGGTTAAACGATCAAAAGTTCTTGTTAAAGAAATTGGAATAAAAAAAAAAAGCAGGAAATATTGTAAATAGGAGTGGATTCTCACCGTTCCAGTGATGCGCGGCAGTGGGACTCGTTCTCAGCCCATCCAGGCATCGGTCCAGGGCATGCTGGATCCGGTCCTCTGTGCATGTGGTGTGCTGCATCTTCACCCTTCAGGCTCTGCGGAGGGGCGCGAAAACACGCAGCATTATTAATCACCAAAACAACCCACTCCAGTTTTCACTGGAATATGATCTCATAAATGTCTGTGGAGTCATCCGTCCTTCCGCAGACTGCATCATAAAAGCAGCGCCGGCTCATTTTTCTGTTATCCTCGCTGCTTTGCATGGAGCCAGATCAGCCGCTAAAAATGAAAATGAGGCCGTGTTGATACACAAACCATAAAGGCTTATTCCTCAGTAAGATGAAAAGCAAAACAAAACCCTTTTCTGTACTGCACAGTTTTGTTGCTATGGTGACGGAAGCATGTCCACCTCAAAACAACAAAACTTATTTTATGTCTACACTGGAACAACCATCTAGAAAGACGTGAAAATGTCTTAAATTAAGTGTATTTACCCTTAATTTGAGCAGGTAAAGGTAAAGGAGAAGAGAATTTTTATTCTTAAAATAAGATAATTAAATAATACGCACTTGAAATAAGACAATGCAGTGTTTTCTTATTTTAAATGTAAATTGTCTTGTTCTATTGGCAAAATATCTATTTTACGTCCTCAATCCATGATTCAATCATGATTTGGATTATTTCCTGTGGAAAACATTGAAAACATTTCAACGTGGACAATTTTCACACCTAAAACAACCACAATGCAACTGATCTTTTTCCAAAAATTTAAGAAATATTTGACAATTATGAAAAACAAGAAGTGAATACTTATTAAAGGCTCTAAAAACTAAATTCAGTTCCAGTTTTTTAAGCTATTTTCTAAACCCACACGTGTTTTTTAACTTCACTTTTTAATCTTCAATCTATTATTGCATCTGCCTGTTTTATTTATGCACCAACTGAGGAAAACCCAGGTGTGGCAACATGTTTCAGTTCTGTTATGAAGACGTCTCATTATGTATGAAACAGTGATTTCTCAATCTTGCTCACGCCTGGGAGCAGCGTGAACTGACGATTTAATGCGACAGCCGCAACCTTTCTGAAGCTGATCCAGAAACGCCAACCCGCGTGTCTAGAAAGGAGGTTCAGCTCAAAGCAGACGTGCATCAGAAGGCTTAAATTTCTATTCATTTAGGTTTTATTAAAATTCTGTGTCTTATTAGGTAAAAATTAGCCTGGTAAACCAGACTAAATGTGAGATTAAAGGTGTAATTTAGTCTAGCCCTGATGAATGAGACATCAGAAGATTGATGATGAGAACAACCCGTTGTTTTTCAAACCGCTGTCTGTGCCTATTGGCCAACGCTCTGACCAATTAGAGCAACTGACTGTGACGTAGGAAGCGCGACAGGAAGCTGGTGAGGGAGTGGAAACAAACAGCCTGTCGGTAAAACGGCGAATGCGTGCTTCTATAAAATGAACGAGCGTAGAGCCTCTTCCTGCTCACGTTTAAACAAAAACCCAAAGTCTGATCCTTCCAGAACTGATTCCAAAGCTGAGTCAAAAATCGCCATCAGAACCAGCGGTCCTTCACACACGGCTATGCTGAGAAAGGGCCGCTGCAGACGGGCTACTGTTAGCCCTGGCTGCTGTGGACGGGCTACTGTTAGCCCTGGCTGCTGCAGACGGGCTACTGTTAGCCCTGGCCGCTGCAGACGGCTACTGTTAGCCCTGGCCGCTGCAGACAGCTACTGTTAGCCCTGGCCGCTGCAGACGGCTACTGTTAGCCCTGGCCGCTGCAGACGGGCTACTGTTAGCCCTGGCCGCTGCAGACGGCTACTGTTAGCCCTGGCCGCTGCAGACGGCTACTGTTAGCCCTGGCCGCTGCAGACGGGCTACTGTTAGCCCTGGCCGCTGCAGACGGCTACTGTTAGCCCTGGCCGCTGCAGACGGCTACTGTTAGCCCTGGCCGCTGCAGACGGGCTACTGTTAGCCCTGGCCGCTGCAGACGGCTACTGTTAGCCCTGGCCGCTGCAGACGGCTACTGTTAGCCCTGGCCGCTGCAGACGGCTACTGTTAGCCCTGGCCGCTGCAGACGGGCTACTGTTAGCCCTGGCCGCTGCAGACGGCTACTGTTAGCCCTGGCTGCTGCAGACGGCTACTCTTAGCCCTGGCTGCTGCAGACGGCTACTCTTAGCCCTGGCCGCTGAAGACGGGCTACTGTTAGCCCTGGCCGCTGCAGACGGGCTACTGTTAGCCCTGGCCGCTGCAGACGGCTACTGTTAGCCCTGGCCGCTGCAGACGGCTACTGTTAGCCCTGGCCGCTGCAGACGGGCTACTGTTAGCCCTGGCCGCTGCAGACGGGCTACTGTTAGCCCTGGCCGCTGGAGACGGGCTACTGTTAGCCCTGGCCGCTGCAGACGGCTACTGTTAGCCCTGGCCGCTACAGACGGCTACTGTTAGCCCTGGCCGCTGCAGACGGGCTACTGTTAGCCCTGGCCGCTGCAGACGGGCTACTGTTAGCCCTGGCCGCTGCAGACGGCTACTGTTAGCCCTGGCCGCTGCAGACGGGCTACTGTTAGCCCTGGCCGCTGCAGACGGCTACTGTTAGCCCTGGCTGCTGCAGACGGCTACTCTTAGCCCTGGCTGCTGCAGACGGCTACTCTTAGCTCTGGCTGCTGCAGACGGCTACTCTTAGCTCTGGCCGCTGCAGACGGGCTACTGTTAGCCCTGGCCGCTGCAGACGGCTACTGTTAGCCCTGGCCGCTGCAGACGGCTACTGTTAGCCCTGGCCGCTGCAGACGGCTACTGTTAGCCCTGGCCGCTGCAGACGGCTACTGTTAGCCCTGGCCGCTGCAGACGGCTACTGTTAGCCCTGGCCGCTGCAGACGGGCTACTGTTAGCCCTGGCCGCTGCAGACGGCTACTGTTAGCCCTGGCCGCTGCAGACGGCTACTCTTAGCTCTGGCCGCTGCAGACGGGCTACTGTTAGCCCTGGCCGCTGCAGACGGGCTACTGTTAGCCCTGGCTGCTGCAGACGGCTACTGTTAGCCCTGGCCGCTGCAGACGGCTACTGTTAGCCCTGGCCGCTGCAGACGGCTACTGTTAGCCCTGGCCGCTGCAGACGGGCTACTGTTAGCCCTGGCCGCTGCAGACGGCTACTGTTAGCCCTGGCTGCTGCAGACGGCTACTCTTAGCTCTGGCCGCTGCAGACGGGCTACTGTTAGCCCTGGCCGCTGCAGACGGGCTACTGTTAGCCCTGGCCGCTGCAGACGGGCTACTGTTAGCCCTGGCCGCTGCAGACGGGCTACTGTTAGCCCTGGCCGCTGCAGACGGGCTACTGTTAGCCCTGGCCGCTGGAGACGGGCTACTGTTAGCCCTGGCCGCTGCAGACGGCTACTGTTAGCCCTGGCCGCTGCAGACGGCTACTGTTAGCCCTGGCCGCTGCAGACGGGCTACTGTTAGCCCTGGCTGCTGCAGACGGGCTACTGTTAGCCCTGGCCGCTGCAGACGGGCTACTGTTAGCCCTGGCCGCTGCAGACGGGCTACTGTTAGCCCTGGCTGCTGCAGACGGGCTACTGCTAGCCCTGGCTGCTGCAGACGGCTACTGTTAGCCCTGGCTGCTGCAGACGGCTACTGTTAGCCCTGGCTGCTGCAGACGGCTACTCTTAGCCCTGGCCGCTGAAGACGGGCTACTGTTAGCCCTGGCCGCTGCAGATGGGCTACTGTTAGCCCTGGCTGCTGCAGACGGCTACTGTTAGCCCTGGCTGCTGCAGACGGGCTACTGTTAGCCCTGGCCGCTGCAGACGGCTACTGTTAGCCCTGGCCGCTGCAGACGGCTACTGTTAGCCCTGGCCGCTGCAGACGGGCTACTGTTAGCCCTGGCCGCTGCAGACGGCTACTGTTAGCCCTGGCCGCTGCAGACGGGCTACTGTTAGCCCTGGCCGCTGCAGACGGCTACTGTTAGCCCTGGCCGCTGCAGACGGGCTACTGTTAGCCCTGGCCGCTGCAGACGGCTACTGTTAGCCCTGGCCGCTGCAGACGGCTACTGTTAGCCCTGGCCGCTGCAGACGGGCTACTGTTAGCCCTGGCTGCTGCAGACGGCTACTCTTAGCCCTGGCTGCTGCAGACGGCTACTCTTAGCTCTGGCCGCTGCAGACGGGCTACTGTTAGCCCTGGCCGCTGCAGACGGGCTACTGTTAGCCCTGGCCGCTGCAGACGGCTACTGTTAGCCCTGGCCGCTGCAGACGGCTACTGTTAGCCCTGGCCGCTGCAGACGGCTACTGTTAGCCCTGGCCGCTGCAGACGGGCTACTGTTAGCCCTGGCCGCTGCAGACGGCTACTGTTAGCCCTGGCCGCTGCAGACGGCTACTCTTAGCTCTGGCCGCTGCAGACGGGCTACTGTTAGCCCTGGTCGCTGCAGACGGGCTACTGTTAGCCCTGGCCGCTGCAGACGGCTACTGTTAGCCCTGGCCGCTGCAGACGGCTACTGTTAGCCCTGGCCGCTGCAGACGGCTACTGTTAGCCCTGGCCGCTGCAGACGGGCTACTGTTAGCCCTGGCCGCTGCAGACGGCTACTGTTAGCCCTGGCCGCTGCAGACGGGCTACTGTTAGCCCTGGCCGCTGCAGACGGCTACTGTTAGCCCTGGCCGCTGCAGACGGCTACTGTTAGCCCTGGCCGCTGCAGACGGGCTACTGTTAGCCCTGGCCGCTGCAGACGGGCTACTGTTAGCCCTGGCCGCTGCAGACGGGCTACTGTTAGCCCTGGCCGCTGGAGACGGGCTACTGTTAGCCCTGGCCGCTGCAGACGGCTACTGTTAGCCCTGGCCGCTGCAGACGGCTACTGTTAGCCCTGGCGGCTGCAGACGGGCTACTGTTAGCCCTGGCCGCTGCAGACGGGCTACTGTTAGCCCTGGCCGCTGCAGACGGGCTACTGTTAGCCCTGGCCGCTGCAGACGGCTACTGTTAGCCCTGGCCGCTGCAGACGGCTACTGTTAGCCCTGGCCGCTGCAGACGGGCTACTGTTAGCCCTGGCCGCTGCAGACGGCTACTGTTAGCCCTGGCCGCTGCAGACGGCTACTGTTAGCCCTGGCCGCTGCAGACGGCTACTGTTA